CTGAATATTAGCTCCTGTCCCTACCCTGGCTTGATTCTGGGAAATACATGACTACATAGCCAGATTAGGGTTTTCAGTTGCCACAGACACACATCTGGGCATTCTCATGGTTCATTGTTTTCTTCTGTCTTGCTTTAAACTAAGGTCTGCTCCTGTCAAATGCAATTCCAGACAATTGCTGATCAAGAACTTCTCTCCCATCTTGTCCTCCTGCTATCTCCTCCACAATTTTCTACCAGAGAGATACACAGCTGTGTAAAATAGGAAAAGAAAATATACAGATCAATACCAAAAGAATAAATGATCCAATTTAAAAATGGGCAAAGGACGTGAATAGATACTTCTCCAAAGAGGATATACAGATGGCCAATAGACCTATGAAAAGATGCTTAATGTCACTAATCATCAGAGATGTGCAAATTAAAAACACAATGAGATATCACCTCACACCCGTAGGAATGGCCATAATCAATAAATCAACAAACAACGAGTGCTGGAAAGGATGAGGAGAGGGGAACCCTAGTCCCAAGGCACTGCTGGTGGGAGTGCAGGTTGGTGCAGCCACTGTGGAAAGCACTGGGGATATACCTCAGAACATTAAAAATGGAACTGCCTTGTAACCCAGCAATTCCACTTCTGGGAATATATCTGAAGAAACTCAAAACACTAATTTGAAAGAATATAAATTCCCCTATGCTCACTGCAGCGTTATTTACATTAGTCAAGATCTGGAAGCAGCCCAAGTGTCCATCAGGAGATGAGTGGACAAAAAATCTGTGGCACGTTTACACAATAGAATACTGCTCAGCCATTTAAAAGAATAAAATCTAGCCCTGGCTGGTTGGTGTAGCTCAGTGGATTGAGCACGGGCTGTGAACCAAAGGGTTGCTGGTTTGATTCCCAGCCAGGGCACATGCCTGGGTTGCAGACCAGGTCCCCAGTGGGGGCCACGTGAGAGACAACCACACATTGATGTTTCTTTCCCTCTCTTTCTCCTTCTCTTCCCCTCTCTCTAAAAATAAAAAAAAGAAATAAAATATTAAAGAAGAATAAAATCTTACCTTTCTGTGATAGCATGAATGAACCTAGAGAATATGACACTAAGTGAAATAAGCCAGTCAAAGAAAGACAAACACCACAAGATTTCACTTGTATGTGTAATCTAATGAAAAAAACAAACAAACAAACAAATAAAATAGAAACACAGAAAAACATACTCGTAGATACAGAGAACAGACTGGCGATTTTCAGATGGGAGAGGAGCAGGAGGGCTGGGTTAAAAAGGTGAAAGAATTATGGGGGGAGAACACCTCACAGACATAGACAACAGTACGGACATTACCAGAGGGAAAGGGGAGTAGGAGGAGGGAAGAGAGGGATAAATGGTAAAGGAAGGAGACTTAACTTTGGGTGGTGACTACACCATACAATACATATACAGATGATATATTACAGAATTATATAATTGAAGCCCTGGCTGGCGTAGCTCAGTGGGTTGAGTGCAGGCTGCAAACCAAAGTGTCGCTGGTTCGATTCCCAGTCAGGGCACATGCCTGGGTTGCAGGCCAGGTCCCCACTTGGGGGCACGCAAGAGCCAACCACACACTGATGTTTCTCTCCTTTTCTTCCTCTCTCTCTAAATATAAATAAAAATAAAATCTTTTTTTAAAAAAGAATTACATAATTGAAACCTATGTAATTTTATTAACCAGCATCACCCCAATAAATTCAGTATTTTTTTTTAAAAAAAAAGGAAAGAAAAAGAAAGGAAAACACAGTGAAAGAGAATGAGTATGCAAGCTCTCAGGAACAAGATTGAAGAGGTCTCATCCTCCTTCTAATGACCCCTAAGAACAACTGTCCACACATACGGAGCCAAAGACAGAAGTAATCTGTCCACATGGAGACCGACTGTAAGTGTCTCAGCTTCCCTACAGAACCAGGGATGTAAGCCATCTCTTCTGATGGCCCAAACCTCATCATAAAGAGAGCTTTCTCTTCTTCCCCAATATAAGATTGCATTTGCCCTACTGCCAACCACAGAGGAAATTTCATTACCAAAATAAATCAGTGCTGCACTTGACCTTGCTTCTCCCATAGCTCAGGATTAGTGACATCACAATGCACTCTACAAATGCTCAGAAATATCAAAATAACCCCCTCAGGTCAAAAACACTTGGTATTTCACTAAAAGCCATTAAATTATTTTGATTTTACTCCATGGAATCCAAAATGCTTTCAATGTTTTCATTTTCAAAATGCTTAAGAGAGAAAGTATGCACTCTGGACCTCAAGAAACCTCGACTCCCGGTCTGGTTTGTGTCCTGATTCACTTATGGTAGGATGGGGAACAGGCCGCACGCCAAAAAACAGTAGCTCTGGCCCACAGTGCTCCCATGACTCCATCCCCGAGTGGCTCGGGCCTCATTCTGGGGGCTCCCGACTCAACCTTTGCTCATCTTCAAAGTCACAAGCCGGTCACAGGCAGCTCCAGGGCAGTTCTTAAGGAGTCCACTCTCCACTCTCCACAGCCCAGATGACTACCATACTGCCTTCCAAAGTTGTGGTAGAAGCAAAGCTCTGTGGGGAGAGTAAGTTCGGGGCAGCTGTCTGGAGTCAGGTGGCTTTAGGGCCACTGCAGCAAATGCATCTCCTGCACCCCCCACATCAGGACACACGACCTGCAGCTATAACTCCTAATGCCGCTTGCTCAAAAAGATGGCCCCAATTTTAAATCAGGTTGGTCACCGACACAGCCAATAAATGGCAGGCCAATTTAAGGGAAAAAAGGAACTGTCCATAAAGAGCATCTCGTCAGGAGCTGATGACCATGGGTATCAAGGACATGCTCCGACAACTAGCACCACATGTTTGTCAACGAACTGATCACTTGTACTGAGATGCGTCACAAAATCACATCTCATAAAACGGAAATATCCCAAGGATCCATGAACATGATCTACTTCACCCTCTTTTCTTACAGGGGAAAAACTGAGACGCAGACCAAGGGGTAGGACTGTCTGAGTTCACTGCTGGTAGATGTGAAACCTTCTCACAGTTGTTTCTTAGCCAGCTGCCTCTGACATCCAATTACCAACAAGAGCTCTTACACAGTTGTTTTTGCAAACAAAAAATTATATTTATGATACAAGTTATCAGCAAACTGGTTGTATCAACCATGGCTGCTACCTAAAAAGTACACTCAACAGAGAAAACAAAACTGAAGATGAAAAGATTAACTTTTGTTTTGAATTATGTTCTTAGCCCTGCAACCTAAAGGGACACTGCCTTTCCAAGTGCGCCCTGTGAGAAATGAAGGGACATAGTTGCTCTCCACCAGGGTTTCCAATACTAGGCCAGTATTTTTGGTTACAACAATTTCTGGGTAAACAAATGGGAGCTGTACAAGGTAAAGTGGCCTGAAGCCACCCTCACTACTCATGATAAAATCAGTTTCAAAGAAGGCTTGAAGATTAAAGTGCTTTTCTCTGCCTTTAAAATGGGGACACTACATTTTTAGGCATAAAGATGAGACCCTGAAAGCAAATACAGGCTGAGGACAAGCAGCCAGGAAAGATACAAACGGAGAGAAAATTAAAGGTCTGAGAGTTTCTACCCACAGCAGCTGAGACGTTTCACCCCGACCATTTCAGGAGACCCAGAGAAACTTCTCTGGCTACAGCGGATCACATGAGAGCATAAAACAAATGCTGAAGTTGGGTTCAGCATTTGGGTTCTCTCTCTGCCCCCATGTGTGTGACACAGACAAGCTTAGAGACTCCAGTGCTGCAGAAAGCGAAATATTCCTTGTTTCCATTACATCATCCAAGTTGGAGAGGGGGAGGGGGGAATGGGGGCACAGCTGGTGGCAGCTGCACCACCATCTGCTTTCTCCTTAGTAGTGTGTGCTAGTTTGAGTTCCAGCCTCCTACGGCTCCTGATAGAGGAGACACAGTATTAAAGGTACAATACCCTATTATGAACAAGCTTTCAAATTAGTTAGAAATAAACCACACTTGTGATAAGTTAACAACCTCAGGCAGGTTGCTAAGCCGGTTCTCTTCGAGTTTAGGTTATTTGTTTGCATCTCTTTACACTCAGCTCTTGTGCACACTCTGGCAACTCAATGTACCTATTAGACAAGCAGAATGTACAAGCAACCACCTGCCATCTGCTTCCTAATAGGTAAGCAGCCAAAGAGTACAGGTCTGAAACTAGAAGCCTTAGTGGAAGAAGTGGGAAATGTCCAAACCTAGCACACAGACTCCAGGCTTCAGCATCCCGGGCCATCTGGTCAACCAGCCTTGCCCTCTCAGACACTCGTGGAGTTTCCCTCAGAACACACTGCCTGGCATCCCCACCTAGAAGGGCAGATGGGTGAGAAAAGCCTGGGAGGAGGAGTTGATGCCCTGACTACCATTCAACTGCAAACTGTCAACAAAGCTGCAAAATGGTGGTTTAAAAGTCTGATTAAGCCGTATATATGTTCTAACTAGCCTATACAGGGTTATACTAAAAAAAAGGAAAAAGTGCTGACTTTTATAAATGAGACTTCCTATGCAAATATCTAGATTGCTAGCTCTGTCTGGGGGTGGGGGGCGGGTAAGAGATCTGGCAGCACCAGACCCCCATTTCAGTTATCTGGAGCTAAGGAGCCATGCCTCCTTTTGATTGGGCGTGCACTCTGAAGAACCGGTCCCCACACTAGTACTTGCAAATGCCATTGCAACTGTCTATGTTTCCACCTACACCTCCAGAGCTTTTGATATGATGCCACTGAGCTTGGAAAAGAAGAGAAACCCTCAGGGAACAATTGCCCAAAGATCCTTTAGTGATTCTCCTCTTTAGCTGAGACTTAGTCCCTTGTATGGCCAACTAAAATTCTGCGAAGATTGCTCTACACAATACGATGAGCAGCTCTAAGCATAAGGCTAGCTACAATGATCCTTTACTGCAAGAAAAGGTTGCAGTGTTCCAAAGGAGCATTCCAGACCACTTACCATACATCTTGCCTTCGTCTGATAAGATGATTTTCCTCCTTCCACATGGTGGATAGATAGCCAAGGCTTCCTGAAAGCTCTGCTCAATGTCAGGACTCCAGACCCCTTCAGCATCGTTGTCAATTGGCTTATCTGCAGAGTCACTCATCCTTTCCATGTTTTCGGCAGGGCTCTCGCTGCCGCTCCAGCTGCTGGGCTCAATTTTGGCGGTTGGATTTTCCAAGCCGAGGCCTGGAGCGTTTTCAAGAAAATAAACCTAAGAGAGAAATCAGAAGACAATGTGAGAAGGACAAGGTAACCACCGACATACTGCTCCTACTAGTTTCACTGCACATTCTTCAGTTGGCCGCTTTGCTTGAAGAATGACTTCTCACAGAGAATATGGAACTCTGAAATCCAAGTGGCTTATTTCTTTATGTATTCGTGTTAGGAACTCAATACAGAAATGCACCGGCAGACAGCTGTATAATCTTTGCAGAGGAGAGGAAGTTTTCATCCAAGAACAGGACTCACTCCAAGATGCAAATTCACAGAGAACCAAACAAAATCATTTACTAAATGCCTACTATCTACCAGGAGCGCTTAGCTCAATGATAATCACATCTCCACAGAAGAACAATTTCATTTAAAATAAAATTTAAAAAAAAGTCTGCCCTTACTATGGCAATTGACATAATAACTCTGAAAGTTAGATCATCCTAATAGTTGTCACTAAGATCACCAAGATGCAAGATGGTGGCAGGAAGGAAGAAGGACGATTACTTTGTTAACCCGAATACTCACTGTGTTCATACAGCAGCGGCAGCTGACCTGGACCTGCTGGTCCACAGCATTTCTCTGTGGGACTTGGATCCTGCACAGTCCAGTCACCTGGCCACTCTGAGCTTCTATATGGTAACCCTGAGGCAGGGACCAAGTCATCCACTTTCTTGCCTTCTCTGTGACAGCTACAAGTGGCCAGCACACTTATGGAAAAAACTGTTTTACACCTCCATGGGCGCTTCATCTGGTAGCCTACCAGGAATTTCTGACCATAAGAAAACCACGGAGGAGACTTTCATTTATTTCTCTGTAGCACTGAAGATTACGGAACCAAAAGAAATCTTTCTCAAAGATTTATTCCCTTAAATTATGCATGAAACCTATGGTCTTAAAAGGCTAAGCCTTCCAAACAAATGTCAAACTGGCCCAAACACCAATGTGAAAATGATCTAATCCAGTACCCCCTGCTGTCCACACGCTAACATATCAATATTCCTTTGTTGAAAAGGCATCAGATCATTAATTCAAAGGCTTTACTGAAAAGCAGGGAATTGCTCCTGGGGACTAATCGAAGAAGGTAGACACAGGGCCTTAGCAGAGAGAGCTTAGTGGGACCACTGCTGCCCCCTGCCTTCTGCCCCATCAAGTCCACGCAGCGTTACAGCAGAGGCAGCTGGGAGGGGAGCAGGTGCTGGCAGCCCCGCCGGGCACCAGGGACTGCTCAGTGCTCCAAGGCAGTCACCTGAGAGCAAGCAGTCTGCCTGCTTCCCCTCTCCCTCCCAGTTGTGTCCCTTTCCCCTGCCCTCCCCCACTGGTATATGGCAACAGATCCCAGGTGCAAAAACTCTGAGGCACATGAGCATTACACAATTAATGGTATAACTAGTGGGTGATGTTGGCTTTGTATCCTGACAGCTTTTTGGATTTGGCAGCACCTGGATTAAAAAAAAAAAAAAAACAGGTTGTCTGCCTTTAAATGCTGCCACAGATCCATCATTCAAAGAACTTGTCAGCAAAATATTTACTACTTCTTACCAACACATGTACATTGACACAGGACTTTAAAAACTGCCAAATGTTGAGGTATAAATTATGCCACAAAAAAGGTTTTTGTGATTGACCCCCAGATGAACTCTCCAATGCCTGCAGTATGGGCCTTTTGAATTCTCAAATTATTACATTTTTTGTTGGAATCTAAGAGTCTTATAAAATTCAAGCTGAGCTGCAAGCTCCCCTAGAGTCTGTTCTAGCTCCAAAGCAGTTTATTGGAGAAATTATGAGAATACGAGTGAACGCTTTGAGCAGTGTTAGCCCACTATCTTTCTCCCTCGCCACTTCACCCCCCAAAAAACAAAACAAACAAAAACAAAACAACAGACACAAACACACAGGCCAGTCCTTGAGCTCTGAGCAGCTCGGGGAAGTGCGAATTCACTCCCGGGAGCCACATTTTAAGGCGAAGAGTGAGGTGTGTCTAGCACTCAACCACTATGGGAGAGGGAGGGAATCCAGGACAGGGAGGGCGGGTAAAGGGACCGGGGGAAACTTACTTGCATAAAAAGAAGATTACCATATCACTGAGAGCCTCAGAGTCTTCAGACCAAAACACACCAACACCCCCCTAATCCGATGCTAGAAATACCCCTCTGACATTTCTCAACTGGTCATACAGTCTACACTTGAACATCACCAGTGACAAGAAACCCACTACCTCCCCCAAACCACCTCCCTTTGCACTGACAAGTTGAAATTCACTCACCTGTTGGGCTAAAACCCATGTCCAGGTTAACTTCTACACTAACTCATCCCTTGCAGAAGCAAATCTCCTACCAAAACACCCAGTTCCATAAGACAGGAGCAGCCCCTGGGTTCCTGATTGTGTCCTAGACTAGACAAAGCACACCACACTGGCTCGGCCTTCAGGAACCCAACCCACTTTGTCCAGGGCCCTCAATGACCGACACTCGGGGACTGACGATGATCCATAAATCCTCTAAGCTCCTGCGCTCTAAGCGCTATTCCTGAATTCTCTTCTCTGGTACAATTGGTTTAGGAGCTGAAAGCAGGAGATTATATTTATTCATATTAAATTCCATTATTTTAGCTTAAACCCATGGCTAGAATCTGGTAAGATCTTTTTGAGTCATAATTGCTAGGTTTAGTGTTTAGACACTGAACGTCCTCTAAAGAGCCATCTGCCACATGGAGAGGGCACCGACCCATCCTGTAGAAGTTCTAAGGTGATTCTGGCTCAACAGGAGAAAAAAGTTCCCACTGGTAGAACTACTCAGCCAGGGATGGACTGCCTTAAAGACAGACAGTAGAGTCTTACAGACGACCCCTTGAAGTTAACTCTGAAGCTAGGAGCCACACGCCCTTGCCCTTGGTTGTTTGGGGGAATGCAGTATTATATTAGCATTAATTAAGCCAACCCGTTAGTAAGCACAGGCACTGTTCTAAATACCCCCCGTGTTTTTATTCACTTATTGCAAATGGAAGAACTCTGTGTCCAGGCTCTGGCAATATGGTCAAGTGAAGCTCAGCAAGATGGAATTACCTCCTCTGGAACAGGGCCAGATACATAATCCACAGAGTTATACAGGCCCTTGGTTTTACAACCCAACTGTAAGATGAGGCCCCGTATGGGCAGAGAGTTTCCAATCATAAGACTGGGGCTGGCTGAAAAAAGCTCCCCATACTAGATACCGAAATAACCATTCTGGCATTCCGTCCCTCAGGGCCCTTCCAGCCTGGCTCAAAATCCACCTCATCCTGGAAACTGCCCTTGTACATAGTAGTTCACAGTATCGGCCACACATGAGGAGTGTCCTGAAAGTGTGCGGCACTGGTTAACTACCACCCAATCTACCTGGCTTCCAAATGCATAGCAAGAATGATCTGCTTATTGCCAACAATAAGATCTAATTACGTGCATTATGCATAGGATATCTGTGCCTGTAGAGCTCATGCCCTCACCTCCTCATCCCTCCTTTGAGCAAGGGAGTTAACTTTCACTTCAGTAAATAAAGAACAATACAAAACTGGGGGGTGGAGGGAGAACATGATACTGAGGTTCAAACTGATCTGAATTCCAAACCTGCCTCTCCCACTAGCTACACAGTCCAGACTGAAGTAGTTAATCTCTCAGAAGCTCGGGTTTTCTTCGTAGAATGGAGATAATGAATTAAATTCCATCTTAACACAGAAAAATCATTGGGGGGTGGAGGGCCTCTATCCGACAGGGTTGCCTTAAAGACTTAGACCTCATGAGCGGAGGTGCTCTGTCATCTGTATAACCATGACCAGATGTTCATTTATTTTCCAGTCCATTATTTCTAGACAGTGATACGGACTCTGTGGTGCCCACATACCCACTGATATTGGGATGGTGGAGAAGTACAGGTGATTTCCTAATGGCTTCCCCTTTGGGAAATAAACTTTAAAAGGATCTACCTTCTTATGGTCTTCAGATGACTAAATGGAAATTTGGAAATTTGTAAAAACCCTGTTACTTTTAATACTTATCTAAATCTAAACTTATATTCACGGGTTCAATAATTTTATATTCTTCTGGGAAGTTTGGTTCAAGCAAATACCCCAAATCGAAATGAATGGCTAAAAGGAAAGCAGAAGGGAACTCTCATTGCTGAAAACCTGCTATATATCAATGGACTCCATGTGCCTCAGCTTTCATCATTAACACTTTTCTAGAAACTCTTTTTTTCCCCCTGAAACTCTTCCTAGACACACCAAAGTAAACTCCAAAGAGATCTGTTAACAAGGACCCATATATTCCTGCTAACTGCCCCAATGCAACACTTCCTAAATAGATCATTCTTTTGTAATTACCCACTGACACTCCAAAAAGAGTAACATAAGTGCAGTGGAATGACATCATGTGTATTTTTCACTAATCTACATTTTAATAGAAGGGCCTGAGGGAAGAAGGAACTGAGAGAGTCAAATACAGGTGTTCCTGATACCAACTCGATTCACGGATGTACGCACAAGGGATATGACGCAGGACACAGGAACGTGCTGCCCCCTTCACCTTGATTCCTGTGGGTCTCTCATAATGGAAGCATCTCACCCACTTATGGGTGATTTGAGAACTCTTCAATAAAGGGTTAGTTGTAGCCCTGGCTGGGTAGCTCATTTGGTCAGAACATCACCCCAATATGCCAAGGCTGGAGGTCTGGTCCCCGGTCAGGGCACAGTGAATGCATAAATAAGTGGAACAACACATCGATGTTTCTCTTTCCGCCTCCCTTCAAAAATTAATAAATAAAATTTTAGAAGTTGTTTTAACTAACCCTTATGACTAATGAAATGATACTGAATATGCAGGTCACAAAAAAACCATACAGCTTGTTTTAGCCAATGTCTTAACATTGTATGAGGCAAAAGGAAAAGAGCTGGACTAGGGGTTAAGACTCAGTCTCGACCTGAGTAACATGGGACCACAGGGTACGGGTAGCCCCTATGTGCTTCAAT